GAAATGGATGCACACCCGCTTGTATGCTGCAAACTTCCCCTGGGCTACAGCAATCCCTGAGCCCCTGGGCTGATCCTTGTTGGCTTCTCAAAGACCAACAATGTGTCAGCTTAAGGGCTTGGAAGTCACACAGATCGGCATCCAAACTCCTGCTCTACTGCTTACTAACTGCATGTTCTTGGGGAAACTACTTAACCCTTTCACATCTCAGTTCCTTGACTTATAGGGTTGGTTTAGTATTAAAATGATGCATGCAAAGCAACAGGCTCCAGGTGCCCTTATATGTCAGCTACTATTATGCCCTTTTGAGCGTGGAATACAGACAGGCCTGGGGCCAGTTTTGCTGATGTGACCATTTTATGTGACAACCACAGTCACATCTACCACAAAGGCAAGTGATCAAGTGAGGCCCAACAGGGCATGGCCAGAGCTGCTCTGTTCATCTGTTGAGCAGATATTCACTAGCAAGTGCCTGCAGTTAAAAGAAAAATTAGAAAGGAGTGCTTGAAACAGAGAATAATCAATCCATTTACTTCTTTTGTTACCTGCAAGTTGGAAAAAGACAGTCATTAACTCATTTCAGAGCAGGACACTTCAGTCCAGCTCTGGAGATGCCCAGAATTTTGCAGGAGAACATTTTGAAGTCCACAAACCATGAGGCCTGAGACTATGCCGAGACGAGAGTGTGCGGAGTGCTGAGATCTGATTATTCTAAAGCTGTATGTCACGTCTGTTAGTGGTTTGATCCTGCCTGAGATGTCTCATTCAGAGAAACAAACTGAAAATACTGTGTCTTTTGTCGACAGTTATCTGCTGCTTCCGCAGGCCCAGCCACCCATGCGAGCTCTCTCACCAATTTGAAATTCTTCCTATTGCAGTAGCCTCTCCACCAGGCCTGGAGGGTCACAGCAGCCCGCCTCTGCCTCAGGAACTCCTTTCTAGAGGGGAAATGCAAGCAAGAGGTGTGTAACAATCCCAAACACTTTAAAGCCTTTGAAAGGAAACACTCCTTGTGAAGGGAAAAGAGGGATAACAAAATCGTAGGGAAAATGAATTCATACAATACTTTCTCAGAAACCTTTATAGACCAAAAGACCACAGGTAGGTCAGGAACATAAAATCAACCCAAATTTGTGTCCAGTTTTTAAAGTAATCAGGAAATTCTTTCTTGTCCCCTCCCCACCAAAGATCTATGATGGGATAAAACCCATTACCAACTATTTTTTTCTTGCCAGACCCCCTTCCTCTGGCCACTAGCTCAGGGCTGGACATAGAGAGGAGACCTGAAAACCAGGCTCTGGGGAGGTGGAGACATCCCCAGGCAAGCTTTGGGCATAGAGACATAACTTTTATCTCACATTTAACCAAGTTTTCTTATCACTTCTAATAATTTTTCAGAGAATTTTCTTACGTTTAAAACAGTAGATCTCAACCATATTAAGACAATCTGGAAAATTTTGATATTTATTGATGGCTGGGTCCCACCCAGTCCAATTAAATCATAACCTTTGCTGATGGGTCTAGAATGCGCGCACGCGCGCGCGCACACACACACACACACACACACACAACTCTCCAGGATTCTAATAGGCAACCAAAGTAAACAATTGAATCACCTAAAAATAAAGATTTCTATCTCCTTTCCAATATCTATACTAGTAGTTCCTGACCGGAGGTGATTGTCCTCCAGGGCGCATTTGGCAAGGTCTAGACACATTCTGGTTGTCATGACAGAGCGGGGACTAGGGGAGGGTGTTACTGGCATCTGGTGAGTATAGGCCAGGGATTCTGCTAAACA